CAGCTACAACAGACATGAGCAGCTACAACAACAGACATGAGCAGCTATAACAGACATGAGCAGCTATAACAGACATGATCAGCTACCGCATGTGCAGACCCAAACCAACAGATGAGCCATCTGCATGACAACTTAACACATTCATAATGAAGACCATGAGATGTGGTTAAAGGAATAAAGAATACTTTTTCACACTGTAATAACTGTTAATGTTGACTCAAATTCACACACACTGTCCTGCTTCCCCAAATCCTCACTAGAGCACCAAATGTGTAATATTCTTTTGCTGAAAGATTTCCCCCTGTTTCAGTATTGTTTATTAAAAAATACAATGACCAACTGCTTTACAGAATAAATGGCCTTTGAAAAAATGATACTTTGTATTCGTGAGTTGTTTTTTAAAGATTTACATCTTCAGGGTAGAGACGTCAGACCGTGGTGAAACTATAGACACACTGTAGGTTTTGTTCATTTTTTGGGGATGTGCTGTTGTTGAAAAAAATCTGAATCTCCATCTCAGCTGAGGTGAATTTAACAAGTCATATGAACAATGGCTCGGAGCGCTCCAGTTTTATTACAGAGCATCTCCGACAGGGTGTCTGTATGAAGGTCTGCAGCATGCAGATGGCAGACTTCCTGCACCTTTACAAACACTAACAACAACCACACAACTGATGCTGTTTGGAGTGACTCATCTGTGTCTCTAGCCAACAGGTCCAACCTTGGCCTTAGCACAACATGTCTCTGTCAAACAAATAGGAGTATGGCATTGAACCAAGGCTGACTGTCTGCTCATGTATTGACTGCGTTCTTCCAACCACAAAAGAAACACAACAAATTGACAAATTGACTGATTTATGGATTTTCTCCCACATTAACTCTTGTTTTGAAATTTGCCCTACTTTTATGACGACTCCAAAGTCCAGAGTCCGACTTTTCACCACTGGGAACTTTTATTCCTGTCTGATGTGTACAGAAAAACAATCCTCAGCTTGCACTACACAATCCCCACTACTTATGTCAAACTTTTACAGAAACAAAGTCAGTCTGAGGCAGAGTAGATACAAATGTCCATCACATGTCCAGTAGGTGGCCCTATGGACATCTGGTCTACACACAGGAAAGGAAGAAGTCTGTAACAGACAGAAAACTTACCCTCATTTTTACTCTTCTCCACTCCCTTGTTAATGCTGGCAGTCTGGAAGAGATGCACATCAGACCAAGTCATAAATATTAAATATTTCTCATCTATAAAAATGTCTGTCTTGTTAACGTATACATCGCAGTACATGAAAGTATGTAACGGTTTTTATCTGAGCCACATCAAAAGAAGCCAGATCAGCAGTCTGATGCAGCAATAATTTATACTTATAGAGACTGATGTCAGAATTGTTGTAAAGATCTTACTCTCCATTCTGTCTCTGCCTATTAACATGTGCAGTCAGAGGCATCAGCCCTGTCAAGTTACAAACACGTAGCTGAGGAGCAAGGCTAATTTACCTTCAAAATAAAAGCACAGCAGCCTGTCACGTTTTAATATAAATTATGTTGACCAAAGGATCATTTGAAATATGAAAACGTCTGGTCTGCCTTCTACTGGTTTTAATACCATGCGTCCATACATTCACACATTTGAAAATGAAAGCAAAGAGTCTCCACAATATTCCATCAACGGGTAAAAAGAGAGTGGGCTACAAAAAGTGAAATGCGTCACTCCAGCTCTTAAAATTGCTTGACTGAGTTATATTTTGAAAGGAGTAACAGGAACCTGCCTTTGTTTTGATTGTAAAAAGATGACGTAAATAACCGGCATCTCTGGCAGACCTCTGTTCACCTTATGTGGCTGCTGTAAGCGGCGGAGATATTGCGTGAGAAAGCGGATCGGCCTGTGTGGGAACGAGATGGGCATCCTGCAGGGCGCAAGGGCAGGAGGACATGGGCCTCCGCTCCCACACACTCCGGATCATGGATCTGGGACTAAACCCTGCGGCTGAATGCTCAGAGGACTTACTGTACAGACAGAGTTCAAACTACAGGCAGAAATCCATTAAGAAATGTCCTGCTTTAATGCACGTAGTATCAGTTACTATTCCATTTCGGCATGTATGTTATCCAGCTAGCAGCATTCATTTAACAAGTCTTATGACGTATTCCCACCGTCATCACACCGCTGTAGTGACGGAGGCTTTAGTTCCATTCTACTAAGTAGCCTACTTTGTGGTGAACAAAAGACATGCCGAAATGAAATGATTGTCTTCAAAAATCTAGAGACAATCATTACAGGTACTTGTCAAGCGTGTCTCTTTACTCTTTGGCTATTAAGCCAATCAGTTTTGAATGGATTTTAAGTGCAAAAACAAAGGCAAAGAAGGGCATGTATTAAGGTTTTCACCAAAAACGACAAAGTGAGATACAAACAGAAAGATAATGCTAGTTTACCAAAGCAGGCAAGCTGGACATAGGCCTAAGACTAGCTTTTTGGCTGACACAAAATATATTTAGTAGTACTACATTACAGTAATTATAATTGGAACACAGCAGTAACTAAATCTAAAATAATTGAGGATAGAGAGAGCTGTTGAGCTTTAAAGGCACTTGTGACGAGAACAGGTGTCCCTATCTGATAATTAATAATAAATATGAATAATTAGACGATAAGAAAACAAAGTCCAATACTCACCTTTACAGTGGATAGGTGAAGAACCGCGACCAAAAGGATGTGTACCAAACTGACAGCAAAGTTCATGGTTGTTACTCCGCGCAATGAGTGTTAAAATGTATGCGGTCGTTTAAGGGTCCAACATCTAACAGTATCAACACAACAACACGCACAAAGTAAAAAATGAAAAATATCTATTTAAAAAAAAACGTGGCTATAGCAAAGTCAAATCCATATTTTCCACGGGCAAATGGCAAGTCCTCTGGAAACCTTACCATCCAACACGCCGCGCTCGTCCACAGACAAAGACACTCTGAGAGGTTCTGGAGCCAGGAGCTCAGGAACACAGCGATCCTCCAACAATCACTGTAACAATGTTTAGTGTGGAAGCGGAAAGAGGGGGGCTGTCCTTCTTCTCACTTATTAATCCCACAACATTAAGGTGTGTCTGTGTGCCACTGTCTGCCGGTATAAAGTCATCTCCCTTCTAGTGGTTCTTATTGACGGTCCACTCCTGTCTGTGCCTCGGCTTCTCTTCTCTCTAAAGATCTTTGGGGAGCATCGACAGCGGCTTGTCCCCGGACTCGGTAGCGGCACCAGTTCTCTTACGTTCTGTCTCCTCTTGGCGGCTGCTGCTACAGTTCATGCGTTATTAAACTGGTCGGGTATCAGAGGCCACCAGTCTTGTATTTGGAGGCGGGGCGGCTGTGGGGAACCAATGGAAGAGGAGGGCGGGCGTTGATCTGGATCTGCTGTTCACTCTCTCTCGCACACACGCACACAAAAAAACACAGACACAGGAGAGGTAAACTAAACTGCGTTGTTTACTACTGTCAACTATACAAAAACACTTAATTATAATAATGATAATAACTAAATACAAAAATACTATTTTGACGCATTGAAGATCATCATTACAAGGTACAAAGACAAAAAAAACCCTGATAATGTATTTTCCCCACTACAATCATTTACTAGAGCAGTGACTGTAGGCTACAAAGATATGGTTTTGTGTGGCGCATGTACAGTATTCTATTCTCTCATTTGCTTACTTCAGGTGAATGGCCTATCATACGGTATTACAATAATGAATAGTTAACACATGCATCTTCTATTAATATTTGGAGTATAATATATATATTTTTTGTTTTTATCATGTCTATTTGTACAAGTTACTCATTATATATTACTTAAGATTGAAACATATACATTCATGAAAAAATGTATCACATACTGTATAATTCATAATTTTTTACAAACCCACAGATAATTATTACCAACCCTAGTTCTCATCAGCACTGCAGAGCTCTTTCAGCTAGCTTTGGTTTTTTGGTACACTAACTGCTCAGAACCACTCAAATAAATATAGTACTTTCTTAGTATCTTGAGTTGCAAGTGTTGTTAGTCACGTGAGTCATCAGTCACATGAGTCGTTAGTGTCACTAGTATCTTGAGTTACAAGTTACAAGTGTTGTTAGTTATGTGAGTTGTTAGTGTTGTTAGTTAATGGAGTCATTATTGCATTAGTCACGTGAGTCGTTAGTGTCATTAGTCACATGAGTTGCAAGTGCTTTTAGTCACGTGAGTCGTAAGTGTTGTTAGTCATGTGAGTCGTTAGTGTTGTTAGATATGATAGTTGCAGGTGTTTTTAGACACGTGAATGTGTCGTCAATTATGTAAGTCGTTAGAGTCATCAGTGATAGTGATATGCGTATCTGATATATACAAAAATATGTATTCTTGATTCGGGAGTGAACTGTCCCTTTATATTGCCTGTTGGGTTTCTTTCTTCTTTTTTTGCATGTGTGTTTTATGCAGAGGTGTTTTTCTTTCTGATTGCCCAGTAATAGGGCATGCGGTTCTGAATGGATGTACCGCAAAATACTGCCATCACAGTGTATCCTCGAAGGCATTCATAGTGTCAGTTGTACACACCGAAAGTGAATAAAGCTCTACATTTATAACACGGCTCAACAAAAATTAAGGGAACACCTAATTATCACAGTATAACCAAGTCAATTAAAATTCTGGGGTATTGATCTATCCAGTTAGGAAGCGTAAGCGATTGTGAATCTGTTTTACCTGCTTTGGTGCAAATGAAAGTGACGGCAGGTGGACAGGAGAGGAAACAGCAAAACAACCCCCAAAAAGGGAATGGTTCTGCAGCTGCTGGGCCACAGATCATTTGTCTCTCTTTATCCTTCCTGGCTGATTTTTCTCTAGTTTAGCATTTTGCTAGTGCTCTTGTCACTACTGGTAGCATGAGGTGGTACCTGCTGTCTATTCAGGTTGCACAGGTAGTCCAGCTCCTCAAGGTAGGCACATTTATACGAGCCGTCACAAGGTTTGCTGTGGAGTGTCTCAAGAGCGTGGAGGAGAAACCAGGAGACAGGGCAATACACAAGGAGAGCTGCAAGCCAATGTCACCCATTGTGACATTGGACTGCCGTTTTGCAGCCTCAAGTTTGGTGATTTCGCCAAAGCCATCTTGGATTAGGCCGTTGCCATGTTGTTGTTTTTTTGCAGCCAATGAACAGAAGTTACTATATTTGGAATGTGGAGGAGGGAGTGACGTTGAGATGCCGTATATGGCTCTTGTAGTAGCAGCGACCTGTCAATCACAGTAAACCCGCCCTAAAGTATACTCCGCTTTACTCTAAACTGGACCATAATTTACTAAATGAACATCTTGCTGTATTGAAGAAAACTAGCTATTGAGATCATAAACATGAGTTCACAATGTTTACTGAGGTAATAAATCAAGTGAGAAGTAGAGTCATTTTCTCATAGACTTCTATACAATCTGACTTCTTTTTGCCACCAGAGGAGTTGCCCCCTGCTGGTCAGTAGAGAGAATGCAAGTTCTAAGACACTTCCCGTATTGGCTAATGTTGGAGTTTAATTTATCATAATAGCCCCATCAATTATATCTATTTGTTTAAATATATCTAAATGTTTGAAACCCACATATATGACATCTGCATATTGAGAACTAGTGTGAATATAGTGTGGTCTGAATCTGTCAACATGCAGCCTGTTTGCATTAGTAAGGATCAAAGTCTCTTGTAGAAAAAACTACTGAGGATGCGTAGCAGGTGCGTGGTGAGACTAGCTTTACTACTAAAGAGGCATAGCAGGTGTATGGTAAGGCTGTCATGGAAAAGGCAAGCGAAGGCCGCTAGGGCTGTGAGAAGGATTGCTGAGCTGTGATAAAAAAGAGTTGCGTTATGCTAGGCGGCATCAGGAAAAGGCGTTTTAAACTCCCACTAAAAAGATAAAGCTGACCATGACACATTGGTACATGTAATACATACATTAGAAACCATACAAACATAACTCACACCCACATGACAGTAAAAAAGACACACCTGTGATTTCAAAGGAAAAAGGAAGAAGAGCTTAAAAGGACAAAAGCGATGTCAGCCACACTATATAAGACTATGTAAGAACAGAATAAACAGAATATTTTCCAAAGAAGGCTCAGGTTGTGTTCTTTGCTTGGAGAGAAACTCTATTGCAGTTCAATTAAAATTCCAAAAGGTCCAGATGGAGAAAATCTCCTCGGGCAAAGGTCCGGAACATTACAATAATATCTAACTTGCGTTATTTAGTGCCATATATATATACAGTATATTAGTGCTGGGTAAGTTAACACGTTATTATCGCGTTAACGCATTCATTAATTAACACTGACAATTATTTTATCACACGTTGACGTTTTTTTTTCATTATTAAGAGGACATTTTTAACACAAGAACCGGCCTGTGGTCAACAGCTGTTTGTGTGGCGTCTCTTCCGTCTCTACCTGTTTCCTTCACCTACATTTACAGCTCCATATACAGCTTCTTATCACCCTCTATGTACCAAGGTACATTTATAACAAATACCACACATATTACATGGTACTCAGCGTTGCATATGTGTCTGACCAAAATACCAAAAACAGCAAAAAAGAAATTATTAATTTAAATAATTTTTTTAGAGTTTTTAAAGTGCTTTTGTATAGAATATGTATGTATGTATGAAATATACACCTTGAAAACTGCAAACCTATCTACGTCATGTTTTTTTCCTTTTTTTGTTTGATAAATTCTCAGTAGTGATAACTAAATGATATGCTTGTTATACATATTCCAAACAAAACAACTTTAAAAACTCTAAAAAAATTATTTAAATTAATCATTTCTTTTTTACTTTTTTTGGTAAGACACATATGCAACGCTGATTACAGTAATATGTGTGGTATTTGTTATAAATGTACGTTGGTACATAGAGGGTGATAAGAAGCTGTACTTGGAGGGACTTAGGACGAAGGGGAATGTAGGTGAAGCATGGAACCTGGAGGGAGTCTGTACCGTGGCAGTAACCTACATGAGGAAGTTATGCTAATAAAGAGTTGCAGTTAAGAGTAGTTGGTTGACACGTGCTTATATGTTCATTTAAAAACACGACAATATGTATTTTAATATTGTCACGTTTGATCCTGTAACGAGACGATTGCGTGTGTGTGTGTGTGAGACAGGAGGGACCGACAGTGACGGAGTGAAGGGGGGTTCCGGACCGGGCGTGTCACCCGTGGGGGGGGGGGCGGTAGCAGCAGCAGTAAGTGACGCCACACAAACACAGCTGTTCACAGCTCGCTGCCCGGTTCTTGTGTTAAAAATGTCCGCTTAATAATAATTTTAAAAACTGCGTTAACGCGCGATAAAATAATTGCCGGCGTTAATGAATGAATGCGTTAGCACGTTATTATCGCGTTAACTTGCCCAGCACTAATAGAAATACATAAATAAATGTTCTTCTCATTTCAAGTAAAATAAGGGCTGGATTAAAGAATAACTTACATAACAGAAAGCTTTTGAAAAATGTGCATCTTTAAATAAAGTACTTAATTTTTGAAAAATGTATTTCACTGAATTGCCCTGCAGCTTTAAATTCAATTCATTCAGGTGTGAAGTGATGTCAATCAAAAAAGCCACAATATTATAATTTTCTCATCTTCCAACAAGAGAAATGAGTGTGCATTGACATTTTCTGTGGTTAATAAACCACTTGTTTCAGCTCTATTCCTCTCTGTGAACATCATTGTTGGGCAGTGAATTCATGTGTTAGCATTCTGATCATATTGGGCTCTTTGGTTTATTTTCTGCGTCTTCATTTCAGATGTGAGTGGCTACGTTTGCTCAAAAGAGTTATGCTTTGTCTCGTAGTGGCGCTTCACATTACTGCTTTTAATAATCGTCACGGTCTCTGAACATATGAGACACACTGGTTTTAAACTGTCCGTAGGAAGAATTAACCTATAAGAGTTTGTGATCTTTGTGAGGGTTTTTGTTGATAACTTCTCGGTTCTCTTTTTCTGCACTGCGCTTCTTTTTGGCTCTGCGATCCATTATTGGTTAAAGACTCTGGTCTCTCTGAACACATTTCTCTTTTTGGAGAAAGTCACATGAAATAACTTCTCTGACTTACGTAATAATTCTCCTGCTCTTCATTCGAGTCAGGAAACTTGTCAGAACACCCATATTTGATTGGCTGAGTTGCATCACGTGATGTGATTTACAACGCATTGGTCGGTGTGTTTCCTGCACCGCTGAACAAGTGCCA